GGTACCTTCCTCTGTCGGCGTGGTTAGGAGTCCTGTGACAACATCACCGGTGCAGAGCACCGGTATTAGTGTGCATTTTACTCTATCGCTATATACTATGCATGCGCGAGGTTTATTGTTACCTTCTACGTATAGTACTTTACCTTGGTTGGGTTTCAAGCCAGCTACCCTCCCTCCATGTAATCAGGGTTCTTGCAAGAGGGCCAGGTCGAGACCCTCTTTGTCAAATCTCCTACATACCATAGCGCTGGACGCCTTGGCATGATGGAGATTCAACTGCAGAACCCTGATCCTACGGTTCAGTTCTGTGAACTGAACCCTTCTTCTGCCTTCTTCGAGGCATCTCCCTCCTCCATGGGTGTTGCGCTCTCATGTGCTATTTGCCTCTTGAGAGGGCTACTCCCACTTTGGGAGGACTCTGTCTCGTCCTCTTCTTGTGCCTCTTGGGCCTCCGGAATCGGCTCGGCGTGTTCTTCTTGTTCCTTGACATGTTTCCCCTTCTGTCTGAACTTAATTCTCCCTAGATTGAAGTAGGGAGACATGTCAAGTTTCACTAGTTCTTCCAGTGACTGTTTGTCCATGGAGAAGACCCAAGTTTGACCTTTGGCCGCAGGAGTTTTGCCCCAAACCATCCAAAGGTGCGTGTTTAGCCCATGATTTGCGACTTTGAGCCGGTGCAGAATTTTTTCCGCCTCCGGCTTTTGCCCTCTTTCATCAGGGATGAAGGTAGTGCAGGCGTAGGTTTCAGGTAAGTCATCCTCCTCCAACACTGTTAGGGTAGCTCCCTCCCAGGGTTTTATGGTTGGGATGACCTCCTTCAACCAGTCTGCACTAGTGCGATCCACGCACATCATAACCAAGTATCCCGGTTTATGAGTGCATTTTGCGAATCGCACTTGGGGTCCCTCTATGGGGATTTGATCTAGAGCCTCGGAGATTGAGTCCTGGACTTCTGTGAGCCTTTCAGTACTCATTTTCACCTCCGGGAAGCCCGTGTGTACCACAGCAACCTTTACTGAGGTAAGGGCATCTTTGAAGGATACTCCTTCGTGCCTTGGTTTCTTCCTCAGCTGGCTGGTCTGTGGCGGTGTCGCACTGGTTGACCGTGGTCGTTTCGTCGCTTTCGTGCCTTCACCGGCCTTCCTCGACGTTGTTGCTACAGGTCCCAACCTCAAGGACTTTGCGGGTTCCTTGCTTTTTAAAAAGTTCTCCTTGATTACCAGCCTCTTGGCTGAAATGTAATCAAGGCCCTTTTCTAGGTGGGCCTTAAGCCTCAACCTCGAAGCTCCTCCGAGGTGTGCTATTTTCACCTCATCGTCTGATAGTAGCTCTAGTTCCTCTAGGGAAGATACTACTACCTTGTTTTTGGCTTTTGATGCTTGCCCTTTTGTGGCCTTAGCACCAGACGTGCCCGCCTTCTGTCTTGGGCTGGGTGTGATCACCTCCGCCCTTTTCACAGGTTTTTTGTTTCTATTTTTTGAATCCATTCAGATCCCACGAATAGCCAGGGAAGTTTTGTTCCGCTACGACAGAGCCCCGCATGCCGTAGTAAGGTCTTTGTACTCTGGGATTCGACCCTGTGTCCCAGAGGCTCCGTTATTGATAGCACTCCCTGCTACCATCCAGTCCTCGGCACGGAAATCTCACACCTTGACTTGGGGGAATTTTTCGACCTACCTCGTCTAGATCCGCTGTGTTTAGTTTATGCAGGGTCACCTCGGGCAGGATGCGATTCTACATCGCGCACAGATGGTCTTGGTCATAGCTTCCTCGAGAGGTTTGCCCGACCTCCTCTGCTATTCCCCTGGGGTCGGTGGCCATGTAGCCGACCCCTTGACCCCATGAGTGAAGATACTTTGACAACATCAGTCTGCACACGTATCTCTGTATTCTATCAACTCACATGGATACCTTTGGGGCATGGTAGTTCGCAAAGATCATATGAGTTGATATCGAATCGGGTATAAAGCACACAACAGGCAACACAAGAAACCTTGATTTCGACCATGTTCACTCTGTAACATTGCATTCTAGAATCTGACGATCGCACTGACCATATGAGACGACTCTGAAGGACTTATAACGAGAACAATAGGCAAGTGAAGATACTTCGACAACATCAGTCTGCACACTGTATCTCTGTATTCTATCATCTCACATAGATACCTCTGGAGCATATAAGTTCTCAACGATCATATGAGACGACATCGAAGCGGGTATAACGCACACAACAGGCAGAACGAGAAACTTCGTTTTCGACTATGTTTACTGTGTAACTTTGCATTCTAGCATCTTAAATGCCCAAGGAGTATATATGACAGCTCATTATATGCGAGTGGAGTCCTTTACTTTTTCATATCTACTAACAACTTTGATTCCAACAATCAAGAGTCGGCGAACCAGCGTGTCCGCCAAAACTTCGAATTTATCAATCTTTATAATAAGTCGGTTATACATCTCATAGGTAGACATTGTCTAGTGTTTCCTGATTTAAAATAATGCTTACAACAGAAAGATCAAGAAACTTCGACATCGACTATGTTCACACCGTAACTTCGCATTCTAGCATCTGACATGCCTACAATAATTGCAGATACGATCGCACTGACCATATAGGACGACTTCGAAGGACATATAACGAGACCAATAGGCAAGTGGATATACTTCGACAACATCAGTTCGCACACCGTATCTCTGTATTTTATCATTTCACATGGATACCTCTGGAGCATATGAGACGACATCGAAGCGGGTATAACGCACACAACAGGCAGAACAAGAAACTTCGACTTCGACTATGTTTATACTGTAACTTTGCATTCTAGCATCTGACATGCCTACATTTATAGCAAATACGATCGCACTGACCATATAAGACGACTTGGAAGGACTCATGATTAGAACGAAAAGCAAGTGAAGATACTTCGAAAACTTCAGTCCGCACACTGTATCTCTGTGTTCTATCATCTTACATGGATACCTTTGGGGCATATCAGTTCGCAACGATCATATGAGACGACATCGAAGCGGTTATTACTCACACAAGAGGCAGAACAAGAAACTTCGACTTCGAATATGTTCACACTGTAACTTCACATTCTAGAATCTGCAATGCCTATAACTATAGTGAATACGATCGCACTGACCATATGGAATGACCTAGAAGGACATATAACGAGAACAATAGGCAAGTGAGACACTTCGACAACATCAGTCTGCACCCTGCATCTCTGTATTCTATCATCTCACATAGATACCTGTGGAGCATATAAGTTCGCAACGATCATATGAGACGACATCGAAGCGGATATAACGCACACAACAGGCAGAACAAGAAACTTCGACTTCGACTATGTTTACATCGTTACTTCGCATTGTAGCATCTTGAATGCCCCTTCAAGAAGTATATATAACATCTCATTATATGCGAGTGGAGTACTATACATTTTCATATCCACCAAAAACTTCGATTCCAACAATCAAGAGTCGGTAAACCGGCGTGTTCGCCAAAACTTTGAATTTAGCAATCTTGATGATGAGTCGGTTATACATCTTATAGATAGACATTGTCTAGTGTGAATCAAAATAACGCTGACAACAGGCAGAACAAGAAACTTCGACTTCGACTAAATTTACACTGCAACTTCGCATTCTAGCATCTGACTTGCCAACAGTTATAGCTGATACGATCGGACTGACCATATAGGACGACTTCAGAATACTGTTTCCACATATGGGGTTCAGCACCGAAACATACGCCAATGCTCTTAGATTCCATCCAGAGAAGAGCCATTCGCCTGGTGAGTGACGCCACACTCACTCACTCTTTGACCTCATTGGAACACCGTAGAAAGGTAGGCGACCTTTCACTTTTCTATCGATACTTCCACGGGAAATGTTCTTCGGAAATCTCTGCTATCATCCCTTCACTAGCAATACCAATCAGACGAACTAGACAAGCCCAGTCAGCACATCCTTTCGTTGTCAAGCTCCTAAGATGTCGAACAGCACTTTGTCAAGACTCCTTCATCCATAGAACGCTAGGCTCTGGAATTCATCGCCTGTGGAAGTATTCCCAACAACATATAATCTCCAAAATTTCAAAAAAAATTCCAATACCTACCTCCTGTCCCTATCCTCCCTAGGTACGCACAATGTTCTTTGAATTCCCTTTCGTTTGCTCCAAGCAATAAAAAGAATATAACGAGAACAATGGGCAAGTAAAGATACTTCGACAACATCAGTCCGCACACTGTTTCTCTGTATGTATAATCTCACATAGATACCGCCGTAGCATATATTTTCGCAACGATCATATAAGACGACATCGAAGCGGGTATAACGTACACAACATGCAGAACAAGAAACTTCGACTCCGACTATGTTCACACTGTAACTTAGCTTTCCAGCATCTGACATGCCTGAAGCTATATTTGTTCCTTCAAGAAGAAAACATACACGCGACACTACATTGCTGAGCATTGAGATTAATAAAAATACATTTTCGGTAGTTTAATCTGTGAAATTAAATAGAAACCTTATATCAAAAAGTGCAGAATTGTATGCTGATTTCAGAAAGCCGTTTTCTGAGTCATAATATTATCTTGATTAGACTGCAATTTGCATTAATTTGAAGTGTAATTCGAAAACATAGTGGATAAAAACGATACACAAGAACATTTAACAATTAAAATCGCAAAAACAAAGTGATAAGAGTGTGCAGACGAAAAAGTTGAACTTGAGTTTCGCTGGTTCATCAAGCAATCCAGTGGCGTGGATAATTTTGAGTCAACACGGGAAAACTGTTTCAAGAGGATCCTATGAATAAGTCGAGAGTGAAAGCATTCTACTTATAAAGGACTAAGTGAAAAAAAAGACAAATTGAATTTTGATTAATTTTGAATAATTTTGAATAGAATGGATGCCACGTTCAAATGCTGCAGAAAAAAAGACTGTTCAAATGTGTGTTGTATTCAGTGTTTTAACATCTTTCACTTTAGCTGCTTGGATAGAAAGAAAAATATACAGTTTATAGAAGCACATAAAGTATTATGTTCCAGAGAATGTGCAAATAAGAAGAAAAATGACGAGGACGAATTGCTTAGAGTAGCAGAAAAACTCAATAAAATGATGACGACTATAGAGGAGAAAGATACCAAGCTAGGGAGAATAGAGGGAGAATATGAACTGAGAGAAGAAGAACTGCTCAGTGAAATTAGGGAGCTGCAAAAAGATACCTAATCTAGAAAAAAACAATTTCATCAAAAAACTGAAGCAGACATCAAAAGACTTCGAGGATGAAGTAGAAAATGCAGAAGAATCTTACTTAAAGAAACTAGATGAACAAAAAAGGGTAATCTCTGGATTGAACAAGAATATCTTGGAAACTATAGAGATGAACAGTGTCTTGAAAAGAGAACTTGAAGATAATACGAGCAATATAAAAAGGTACGAAAAAAACTTGGCCGAGCTGAATGCAATACATTCAGATATGATCTCAAGCATTAGAACTTTAACTGAGGAAAATGAACACTATCTGGAGGAATTGAAGAATTTGAAATATAATAATTTTATACTCAAAAATAATACCCACAAAACAAATCTACATACTATAGATTCTACAGAAAAGGTAGCTTCTTGTGCAGTCTTTGGGGCGGTCCCTAGTGTAACTCAAACACCAAACGTAAAAAATAAGCTCCTATTCATCTCTGGACTGAATGGAAGGAACATGGCACAGTACATATCGCAACAAACAGTGTTGTACTCGGTCCAAGCCATCATAAAACCCCATGCCCATGATGATGAATTAACACAGACTGCTATAGAAAACACCAAGGAGTTTACTAAAAATGATATCCTTTTGTTTTGGCCAAATAAATTGAACTTACAACTATTAGATAGATTTCTTAGCCAGACAGTACATGTTCAAACTTTCATAATTTCAGAACCATACAGATTTGACATCAACATAAACCAAAAAATATATGAAAATAACTTGAGCATTTCGAAAAGGATGCATTCACTTGACACAATATCATCGTTATTCATTGATTGCAACAACATCTTCAGAAGAAACAACTATACCAGAAATGGGTACATATTGAAGAGGATTGCTAAATGGCATTTGACCAAATACATCGCAAGTCTCATCAGTAATGTAGATCATGGAAAATCTACGCGAATAGTACATGGAGCATCTATTGATGAGGGAAGGAAAATTGATGAGGGAATAAATATTATTGACAAGACATACCACAACGATCACCCAATGAACTCATCAAACAAATCATCGAACAATCACAATGATCAACAAGCTCAGAACCATTTTTCAGGTGTGAACAGGTACCAAGTGATAACTCCATCAAGTTAGTGCTGTTAAACATTCAGTCAGTTAGAAACAAATCGAATGAACTTTACACTTTCATTGACAGTCTCAATTATCCAGATTTGATTTTGATTACAGAGCACTGGCTCAAATTCAATGAACCATTTCACTTGCCAAGCTATACCACTATCTCCAAATATTCAAGAACCAATTCAATTCATGGAGGAACAATGATAATGATGAAAAACTCTCTCCTTGGAGGGTATCAATTTGTAAATGTAGAAACATTCAATAACTGTTTGGTAGAGTATCAATTTGGATTCTCATTAGTTCATTGTAAAGAAGTAAATTTTCATATAATTTGCATTTATAGACCACCGACTTCTGATATAAACTCATTTCTCACAAATTTGGAATCACTCCTGAATACATTGGCAACGAATTCAATGATATTACTTACTGGAGATCTCAATATTGATTTTGGAGATAAATACTCTGTCAATACAGACTCACTGATAAATCTGCTGAGCTCTTTTAATTTGAAAATGCATGTAAATACAGCCACTCGTATTACCAATCACTCTGCAACTACAATTGATTATGTATGTAGTAATGTAGACGAGCAGTATGTTTCTTGTACAGTAGTTCATGCAGGTTTGTCGGACCATGAAGCAATCTCTTGTAAACTTGATGTGAATGTTAACTTGAAGTCCGATAAATTTAGATATGGCAGAATTTTTTCTAGAAAAAACTATAATAGCTTTTATTCAGCATGCTTGGAAACAAATTGGCAACACTTGTTGAACTCGAATAATCCATTCCCAGACTTCTACCACAAAATCAGAGATATATTTAATATCAACTTTCCTGTGAAAAAAATCAGAATCAAACAAAAAAAACATTGGCTTACCCAGGGGATCAAAATATCCTCTAAAAACATGCGTGCCTTGCATTATATGAGGAAATTTACAGATACATACTTTTTTCACACCTACTACCAGAGTTATCGAAAAATCTATAGAAGTGTTATCAAGCAAGCGAAAGAAAACTTCTATTGGACAAAAATAGAAAATGCTCACAATAAATCTAAAGAGAGCTGGCGGGTGATAAACGACCTCAGAGGCAAAAATATAAGGAAAGTAGATACATCATTATCACCAAATATTTTAAACAATTCAATTGCTCTATTGCCAAAAAAATAACGGAAAATATAAATTCACCAGTCGACCCATTAGCTCATTTTCAAGGTCCTTTCATAAATGATTCTCTTGTACTCTATGATACTGACATTTATGAAGTGAGAAATGTTATAAATTCTTTTAAAAATAAATCAAGCTCAGGCATTGATGATATATCTATACGGATATTTCAAAATCTTCCAGAAAATGCAGTCAATATCATGGTAAATCTAATAAACAAAACTTTCCAAGAAGGTACATTTCCCGATTTCCTGAAAATATCGGTAGTTATTCCTCTGCACAAAGGTGGTGACCTTAATAATCCATCAAACTATAGACCTATCTCTCTTATTCCTACATTAGCGAAAATTATTGAGAGATTAGTTAAGATCAGATTATCGGCTTTCTTAGTTAAAAATAAGATCATCACTAATGCTCAGTTCGGTTTTCAAGCTGGAAAAGATACAAATGATGCAATTTTCTCTTTTTTGTTTGACGTTTACACACAGATAAATCGAGGAGAAGTTACTGCAGCAGTATTCTGTGACTTATCTAAGGCGTTCGACTGTGTGAACCACGGAATACTGTTGCGAAAGCTTTACCCTTATGGATTCAGGGGTGTCTCTCAGAAATGGATAGAGTCATATCTGTCAGGTCGAAGCCAAATTGTGAGAACGACAACATACTCCAATGAGTCGACTGTAGAATGTGGTGTGCCTCAGGGTTCTATACTTGGACCAACGCTTTTTTTACTCTACATAAATGACTTGGCCAGAGCTAACATATCAGGAAAAATAACGCTGTTCGCGGATGATACAAGTATTTTCTGGCATAATAAAAATGCCGAAACACTTCCCGATATTATCAAGGAGGACATGTCTGAGGTTAAAAAATGGTGTGATTCAAATCAGTTGGTGATGAATCTGACAAAAACTAATATGATGTCATTCAAAGGTGAATTAAACGAGCTAGTCATGGGTGATGACGTCATAGAAAACACCAATAATACCAAATTTCTAGGCATTCAAATAGACTTCAGATTAAAATTTGACGAACATGTTAAAATTTTGAACAAAAAATTGCCTTCTGGATGTTATGCGGTGAGACTAACATCAAATGAATTAGGATTTTCTCCTTCTAAGGTTGTTTACCACTCCTTAGTTGAATCTCATTTAAGGTATGGAATTCCATTCTGGGCGGTGTGTAATGATCATCTCATAAACTCAGTTTTTATATTGCAAAAACGCGCAGTAAGATATATGTGCAAACAAAAATTCGTGACCCCTGCAAACCTCTTTTTATTAACCACAAAATTTTAACAGTATATGCGATCTTTATCATGGAAACGGTGTTCCTAATTGAAAAACATCTAGGAAAATTTGACACTACCTCTGCACACCATGCCACCCGACAAGCAGGTAACATTAAATTACCAATTCCATCATCGGCTCTAGTTGAAGATTCAATAATTTATGTAGGCTGTAAGATGTTCAATCATTTGCCAAAAGACACCAAGGAAGTTGGATCCAATAAAAAATTCAAGCATAGAATATAAGCACTCTTTTCGGATAAACCCTATTATAGTTTACAAGAGTTTTTTGATGATACATTTTAACTATAAAACCATTTTTATTAGGAATATTTTAATATGTTGTAATGTGTCCCTTATGAACTAGCTAAGTGTTCAAATAGATTTTAAAATGTTGTATTGTTATAGTAGCGATTTCCTTTTGTTTTAGTCTTGATATTTATTTCAAGGTTATTTTTTTTACTTACTTTGTCAATGAGATTTTACATCTTTAGACAATAAAGCATATTCTCTCTCTCTCTCTCTTTCTCTCTATAGCAGATACGATCACACTGACCAAATAAGACGGCTTCGAAGGACATATAACGAGAACGATAGACAAGTGGAGATAGATCGACAACATCAGTCTGCACACTGTATCTCTGTATTCTATCATCTCACATGTATACCTCCGAAGCATGGTAGTTCGCAATGATCATATGAGTTGACATCGAATCGGGTATAACGCACACAACAGGCAGAACAAAAAACTCTGACTTCGACTATGTTTACTCTATAGTGTGCACAACGATGAAGTCGAGTTTTCTTCATTTGCCTATTGTAGCCGTTATAATCACTTCGAAGTCGTCTTATACGGTCACTGCAATCTCTCCTGCATTAACTGTATGCATGTCAGATGCTGGACTGCAGAATTACAGTGTGAACATAGTCGAAGTCGAAGTTTCTTGTACTCCCTGTTGTATTCGTTATACCCGTTTCGATGTTGTCTCATATAATCTTTGCGAACTGATATGTCCCAGAGGTATCCATGTGAGATGATAGAATACAGAGAAACAGGTTGCAGACTGATGTTGTCGAAATATCTCAACTTACCTATTGTTCTCGTTATAAGTCTTTCAAAGTCGTCTTATATGGTCAGTGCGATCGTCAGATGCTAGAATGCTGAGTTACAGAGTAAACATAGTCGAAGTCAAAGTTTCTTGTTCTGCCTGTTGTGTGCGTTATACTCGATTCGATGTCAACCCATATGATCGTTGCGAACAACCATGCTTCGAAGGTATACATGTGAGATGATAGAATACAGAGATACAGTGTGCAGACTGATGTTGTCGATCTATCTCCACTTGTCTATCGTTCTCGTTATATGTCCTTCGAAGCCGTCTCATTTGGTCAGTGCGATCGTATCTGCTATAGCTTCAGGCATGTCAGA